AATCGATCAACACGTAAATAGTCAGCCATCCAAGTTTTTCGAATAATGATAGTGAAGGGGCATCATAAGCCACATCTAATATAATAGGGGCTGCCCTTTTTTGCAATTTAAAAACTCTATCTATGCCAGTAGCTGGCGCATTACCCCAAATAGTTAGGCAATAATTCAAAGAGGGCAGAATGTATGCATTATAGAATAGTTTTCTTGTGTGTAAGGGAAGGAATTTTTTAATTTTGCGTAAGGTTTATAATTTATAAGTCTAAGATTTACAAACTGAGTCAATATGGTGATTATAGCGCAATGAATCATCAATATGTACTCTCAGAAGTTTTTCAGATTCAACATTTTCAATTGAATTGTTTGAAGCATATAAATTTAGTTCAGGGAAATCTATTCTTGATTTCCTCTATCGAGATAACAAACAGTATTCAAGATCAAAAGTTCATTTAACAATACAAAATAGAAGCAGAACAAACAGTGGGGCTAGAAAAACTCGGAGGAGAGAGCAGGTGACATGGAATGGTAAGCATCCCTTCCCGGCCGGTCATGACAGCCGTTTGCTCCTTGCATATTGTCATGATCGGGAAATAACGTGGAAATCCGTCGTCAATTCGGTGTATAAAAATTGACAAATGAATAAGTATGAAAACCGTCAGTCAGCATTTATCTCACTGATAAATGATATAAAAGGTCATTGTACCGACCATAGCACTAACGAAATGATGACTTTTAACGATACTGCTGAAATTATTGCTTCATCAATCTGTTTGTCAATAATTTACCTAGTTTAAGAAATTGTTCATACGTAGAGCATTCTCTTACGTATCTTATCAACGGAGAGATATAAACCCCAGTTGCAGATGATTATTATCGGCCGCAGCAGCGGCCGATCTATTTGTGGTTGTGTTAGAAAGTGCACATGGGGAATTAAGACGTTATTGTTTATTTTAATAGTTCAGTAAAATAATTTTTGATTGATAAAAAGTATAAATCATGAGTAAAATAATTTTGAAAAACTTGTTTCAAACTTAGCATTAATTGTTGTTATTATATTTCAATTTCATTATCATTTCTCACTAAAAATTATAATTGATAATTTATGGTTATATAGAAAGGGTGAACAATAAATACTCCCCGCTCTGGGAGTGTGTAAGATATGAAAGGAAATCGCCATGATTTTCCGGAAAAATGTTGACGTGATAAAAGTGCATAGTGAATATTCAACGTAGTAAAAAAATGTTTTGAATATGCTCTACAGCTGAAAATGATGCAAAGATATTTTTTCCTACATTTTGCACCACGGCTTGCAGCAGAGCCTATCCTGCAGAAGCCATGGGTATTATCACGTTACAAAGATCCAGGGTATCAGCGCCCGGTTTATCTTGAGAGGCCTACATTATCATTTTGATAACAATAAAATCTTATCATTCATCATTGACTTTTTTTTACATCGATGAATCTATTTATGGGCAAATTCGGTAAAATGTCTATTAATTTTTTTTATTTTTTACTTATCTTTTAAGACAGCCTAAAATAAAAGTGATTCAACTATTTCATTTTTGAATATCTTGACGCGCTTTCCTTGCATGTGAAAGAATTTTTTTAATGCTAAATTTTGTTTGCAGCCGATTTGATGCTTTGCATCAATTTTACTTGTAGTGTATATTGCTGGATATATAAACTCCGTGTGTAGGTGATAAAGGTATATTACTGCATAAGTAACAGAAATTGACGATTGAACAGTTAAAGTGAACACGTTCATCAAACAGCTTGGTTGTTAGATTACCATTAACGTCTTTTTCAAGTTAAATATCCAAATATGAAACAGGTTTGTCAGACTCTGTAGTATCTTTTATCTCAAGCTAACCAGAATATATCGTATCGGCATAAGAATGGAAAATACAATTGTTAATCGACAATACGTTGTCGATTTATCTAAAGATTTTGCACCATTTCTGTTGAATTCTGATGAATACAAATATAGGTCCTCTAATAACAGGGCGCAATTGGTACCCATGGGGATTCCGATATAGTGTTGGAAGACCTGGTCCCAAAAACAACATAGAGCAGACGCTCTAACCACTGTGACACGCGGGCGACATAAATGCATGGAATGTGATGATTTAAATCATAGTTTGCCAAATGCGATCATAACTGCTTATGACTGATTTTTTTCCAGAAGGCTTATTATACATAAATTGCTGCAATGAAAAATACAGGAAATTGAAATTTTACAATCAACTGTTTGCATAATTTCTGAACATGTAACAGAAAAATGACATGTTGCATGCTAAACAACTGTTACGTTTATCTACCAAAACAATGATAAACACATGCTACTAAGCTGGTTGAACTTTAAAATTAAAATATATACTTAACTAATGAATACCTATTAATGTCAGTCACATTACTATCCATGAAATTACACACAATTCGTATAAAATTAAAAATAATCTTGAAATAAAAAAGAATGGAAAAAAAAAACGAGAAAACACCCAAAAAATGAATAGTTTGAATATGACTTTCTTAAAAATAAATATAGTAATATTTATATTTACATGATCTAATAGTGCTTTATATTGTTTGTGATGATTCTTTTGTCTTACCTGTTTTGTACTGGTAAAGCTCGAATGTATTGTGTGCAGTGGCATAAACGTTTGTCCTCTGATTTTCACATGACTGTAATTATTTTTTATCTATTTCACAGTCATATACACTGGGCGTGAAAGGACAGCGAGGTTATTTTAATCAGAAGAATATTCAGATTGAATACTGTTCGTTATCTCCATATCCTTCTTCAGGGAGATAACAAACCGTTATCATGCTCAAATACAGAGTAAACAAGAGGTCACAGTACATAAGACATTGCATAATGGTGATTGAAAACTTAATCGAGAAAGATTATAAAAGAAATATGGATAATTTTGATTATGAAATATATGGCGATAACGAGCAGTATTTAAGATTTAAAGTCCATTAAACAATACAATATAGGAACAGAGTAAACATTGACCTCCAAAACATCAGATGTGGGATCAGGTGCCATGAAGACGTAATCATCAAATGCCTACTAGTCACACCTGTCGTGTGTTCATTGTCACGATCGGGAAATAACGGAAACATCTGTCGACAATTAAGTGTATAAATAATGACCTTACAATTGGTATGAAAAACATCAGTCAGCATTTGACTCAATGATAAATTGTATTTGCTGCAAAGGCACATTGAATGGACCATAGAACTTACAAAATGACGACTTTAAACGAAACTGGTGATACTCTAGTTTTATCTTATTATACTTATTAAGTTATTATACTTCCCGCTTGAGTTGTGAAAGAGTATATCCTTCCGTCCGTATGTACGTCTATCTGTCTGTATACGTCTGTCCCTCCGTCCGTTACGCGTTGGGGTATCTTCTCTTATCCGCAACTCCTTTTAAACCACTAAATGAAATTTATTTAGACTTTTAGAGAGTCTTTGTTACATTATGCCATTATGCACCTCTTTTTTATTTTTTTGATCCGACACATATTTCAGTGGAAACATTGACACTGCCATTTTCTCTACATCATTGAAGGGTACCAACCTTTCATCCACACCTCCTCCTTTAACACTGAATAAAATTTAATAATAGATTCACAGATTCTTGATTAAATCATGACACTGTGCACCTCCTATTTTACTATTTGATCAAATCCTTACCTCGAATTCTTAGTGCACAATATTGACTTCTCTATTATAATCATAAGGGAGGCGGGGTTATAATTTAGTGAGCTCAGTGCTCACAGTACCTCTAGTTTTTATATTATATACCTCATTTAGGAAATTGTACATAAATTAAGACCAAATTCTTGCGTATCGAATCAACTGAGAGATATAAATCCCTTGTGCAGGTGCTGCAAATGTATTACAGATTCCTTGTTTTTCGCGAGTACTTATTATCGCAAATGGACGATTGATCAAAAGATTTGGCATAGATTTCAGACCATAAAAATAAAGGCGAGTAATTTTATTTTGCGTGATGGTGCTTCTAGCGAAATTACGATATAATTTATTCCACGCGTATATTAAGGAATCTACAGTATCTTGCTGTATAGGTAAGGAATGTTGACGATTGAAAAGTTAAAGTCATCACGTTTATCATAAAGCTTGGTAGTTAGATAATCATTAACGTCGTTTTCAAGTAAGTAAAATATCTAAATATGAAACATGTGTATCAGACTCTATGGTATTTTTTTATTTCAAGCTCATTGGGATATATTGTATAGACATAAGAATGGAAATAATCTATGGTAATTGATACAGTGTCGTCGATATATCGAATTGTCGAGTTGAAGGCCATCGCTTCTTTTTCACGAATAAAATACTTAGTCTAGTATTTGACAAATTTTGCTTCATACAAAATACAATTCTTAAACAGCATCTTTTTAGTTTGAGTTATTACATAATAACTCTAATTGATTCTACAGTCTTGTTCATGTTCCTAGTGAATGAAAGTTAAAAATAAGAAAATTCCATCCAATAAGTTGTGGATGAACGTTAATTCCCACGATGTCCTGATTAACTTCATTACCGAGTCAACAAAAAGGAGAAAGAGGGAGGGTGATAATAAGGTACAAATTGCAGTACTTGTCTTCTTTTAAAATCTTCTTCTTAAATCTCATTGCAGTCCTTTGTGGGTTTCTTTATACGCCATGTCAAATTGTAATTGGAACTGTTCTGCAGGTCTGAAGATTGCAGTTTTGCAAGTTATGACACTACGTGTATGCATTAGAATAATACATTTGTCATAAATAAATGGTTAACATGTCTTGATAATCTAATAATAAAGTATTTCCACCCTACGATTTGCTAATGTTTATACAGTGAATAATTTTTGAAATCTGTGTATCTTGTGTTTAGATGCAATACATTCGGTACAAACAGCAGAGAAGTTCACTTAACTTTTCTTTATGAACCAAGCATTTTGGGAAATCTGTAGGCGTTTTTCTTTGACTGACCCCTACAACTGTGTGTGGCTTGGTCAGTTCTGATGCAACATCTTCCTCAATACACAATTTACAGAGACAGATATCACAGTACAGCTGTACCATGGCAGTTTTGCAAAGGTCACATGACGTCATATATTCAGGACCTTCCAGGTAGTCCAAAGCTGGTAAAGGAATTTCCATCTGGATAAAAACATTAAAATATATCATTAATTGTGTCATTTTTTTTTCATTTAATCTGATGGACTGATAATTTGTATCTCATGTGAATAAAAATTAGCTAAAGTTAAATGTAGTTTACCATAGCACATGCATGTATACATGCACTACCTCATATGAAATGGTTTATCTCAAGAGAAACGAACCAGGATCACGCAGACGATGCGAGCACCCAACCATTCGACATAGTATGAATGTGTATGGGGCGCCGTTTTGGTATATACTGCCAAAAATGATATCACCTATTCGAATAGGTGATATCTACTATAATTAATTGGTGATATCACCTATTCAAATAGGTGATATCACCTATTCAGATGTTGAATATGTGATATCACCTATTCGAACAGGTGATCCCACCTATTTGAACACGTGATATCACCATTTTAATTTGAATTGGTGATATCACCTACACAGGTTGTAATTTTCACGTTTTATTCTTCTCTGATACGGTCGCGGTTTCTTAAATTTGCGGAATTGGTTTATAATAAAAGTTTCCTCCCTTATCAATACCTATTGAAATCTTATTCACTGTTTCTTGATTTCACGGATTCGTTTACACCGTGAATATAGCGAATATTAACACCACAAGTTATTTTCCCCCTATACAGTATTCGAAAAGGTGATATCACTTATTCAAATTGAATAGGTGATATCAAGTATTCGAATAAATGATATCACCTATTCAAATTGAATAGGCGATATCAGCTATTCGAAAAGGTGATATAGCTTATTCGAATAGGTGATATCACCTATTCAAATTATTTATGAAACTAGAGGTACTGTGAGCGATGAGCTCACTAAATGATACCCCCTGCCTCCCATATGGTTATAACTGGTGAAAAAGTCCATGTTTTCCTGTGACCGGGAAACCCAAAATATGTGTCGGATCAAAAAGTAAAATAGGAGGTGCACAATGGCAATATGTTATAAAGATTCTGTGAAATATGCATCAAATTTCATTCAGTGGTATGAGAGGAGTTGCGGATAAGAGATGGGTACCCCAAAGCGTAACAGACGGACGGACGGACGGACGGACGGAATTAACTATTACTATATACCCTCCCGCTTTTCAAGCGGGGGGTATAATAACAACACCTCCCAAGACTATACGTCCCTAAATCTTATTATACCCCCCGCTTGAAAAGCGGGAGGGTATATAGTAATCGGTATTTCCGTCCGTCCGTCCGTCCGTCTGTTACGCTTTGGGGTACCCATCTCTTATCCGCAACTCCTCTCATACCACTGAAGGAAATTTAATGAAACTTTCACAGAATCTTTATTACATATTGCCATTGTGCATCTCCTATTTTACTTTTTGATCTGACATACATTTTGGATTTTCCAGAGCAAAACATGGACACTGCCATTTTATTGATATGGGAGGCGGGGGGTATCATTTAGTGAGCTCATTGCTCACAGTACCTCTAGTTTACTGTAACTTTCGTTTTTTAACTCATTATTCTAGGAGACAAATGATTACAGTTTTGCATTTAATTTAGATCAATCCCAGTAGAAATTGAAGTTTGTTTTGCTCACATACTAGTTTATTTTACTTATCTATCATGAAAAATAAAAGAAAAATTGGGGAAAAAAGCATGAAAAGTAGTAGTCCGAGTTTCTTTGGTTCCAGTGGTAATCTGTATAATATAGGGAGCATTCATTATTTAATGTTGTGAGAAATTCAAATTGATGCAAAATTGACTATTTCTATGGACAGATCACTCTTACTGCATTAAAACTATAAGTTAGTATATTTTGTTATTTAAAAAAAGTCATTGATGCCTATTTCCTGAACAAAACATGATGTACAAGTAGAAACTATTTTAAAGCTTGTTTTTTTAGTATGTAAAGAAACTGATAATAAGTCTCGAGTGGGACGTAAAAGGAAATGCACTCAGTCATTCATTTTCTTGAATAATTTTTTCCTACACCTTTTCTATAACAAAGAATTTATTACATAGAACAAAAGAAAAAAGGCTGCATCAGGGATAGGGAAAAGCTCCAACTGAATAATTTTAAATACATCTTGGTTTTTATGCCCCGTTAACGAAGTTTCGGGGGTATTAAGTTTTTGTCGTGTCCGTCCGTCTGTCTGTCTGGAAGTCTATTTGTCTGCAAAAATTTTTACCTTGCCCATAACTTTTGATTTAGTGGGACTATGACTTTCATATTTTACCTGTGGTTTTTTTTTTTTGACAAGACCTTTCCTTGGGTTCCATCAAATTTGACCTTTTGCCCACTTTTACACAAAAAAATGTCAAACTTTTACTTTGGTCATATATTTTTTGACCTTAATAACCAGTGGGTCGTAACATAAAGGCTACTTAAGTCTAAGACCGTGCTTAAGGATACACCAAAGGTTTCCAAAGGGCAAAATTTAATTTGCTTGTAATTCTTTCATTAATAAAGATAACATATTAAAAGTATATATCATTTGAAAGCTTGTTAAATTTACTATTTAATGATCTTTATTTATATTTTCATTTTTATCTTATTAAAAAATTATTATTTTAATGCAAGTATTAGTGCATGTATATTTTATAATCAACTTTTTTTGTATTCCACTTCTCAAAGTCAAAAAATTGCCACAATGTAGATTAAAAATTGAACTTTAAAACCGTATCTCAGATTTTTGATAAAGGACAACATAAGGTAACAGCCGAATCTGGCCCCTTTTTTGATTTAAAAATCAGAACACTGGTAAAATTGTGATAGTTTGTAGTTAAAAATTAAAATGATGCTTACTTTACGACAAGTACTAATTTTGAGTAAAAGCTTATATGGAAGCTCCTAGATGGTGCAGAAAAAGGACATTTTTCCGAATTTCCTCAGTTCTGGTGGAATTTCATCATATTTGGGATACATTTCTCTTCGGAAAACATAGAGCACACGCTTGCCTATCTCAGATTTTTACACATATACTGCATCTGATATAAGTGTATAAAATATATAAATTTGGTAGATAGGCAAGCGTGTGCTCTATATTTTCCGAAAGAAAATGTGCTGTAAAATTAATGAAAATTTGCATAAAAATGGAAAATTCCGAAAATTTTCCTATTTCCTGAACTTACTGGGACCCCTGTATAATTTAAATCTTAAAACCAACACTCGTTTTGTGGAAGGGGTGAAAACAGGTTTTCATGGATAAACTGTTGGATCATTCTGAAAGACACTCAAAATCGGGGGCCAAATAATGGTCTTACCCTATCTTGTCCCTTCTTATTCAGAAGTTACATCCATTTGTCTTATGATGTTACTAATTTATTAGCCCAATTGTACATTTCCTCCAATAATTCGAGAACTGAGCAAGATATAAAAAAAATTGAGATACGGTTTTGTGAACACTCATTTGAGACGTATTCTGGCCAGTTTTTCAGAGAAATTGGTCAATAAATAAGGGGGCTGAATCCTTTGAAATAATACAACCAACTGTCTCATCATACTTTACAGTAGAGGGCAAAAATCCATTACACAACAAATTCTGCCAAAGCTAGAAATAGATGACACCTTGGAGATTCAGCTTTGGATACATGTCACTTATCCATATTTCCTATGCATATTCATATGAATGGGAGATTCTATTCTTTATTAAGGTGCTTTTAATGAAGTAAAATAGGTTCAATTCTGAATCAGAAAGATTTCCCGGTAAAATGGCAAGAGCTAAGTTCCACCTCCTATTTCATGGTCATTAGTGACCTGTTAGATCTCCTTCCCTAAATCTAGAGTCCTGTAGTTTACTAACTGATAACCTTTGTGGCTAGTGAAGAATTCCCCATGTGGTCACAGTGATTTATTGCTCCTTTCAGAAGCAGGCAGTAACAGACCAAATCAGAAGCTTCAATAACGGCACATTAACATGTGTTAGTGATTATTGTTAAATAATTAGAAAACCATTTAATAATCAGCGATAATTTTTCATGCATTGTAAGGCATTGATTAACATTGTTTTCTTAGCCAAAAATCTCCAAATTTAAAAAAATCTTGAAAAAAGCTTTTGATGTATCCTTAAGTAGGACTTAAGTACAGTATAAAACTTAAGAACGTAACTAGAAGCGTACTAAGATTTAGTAATCTTAGCAAAACTTAGGCGACCGGTAAAGGTGACTTAAGTATATCTTAACTTTCTTATACATATATTTAGAATTATTTAATGTTGACTCTCGGTGTAAAAACATACCTCTATTCATATTATGCATTCAAGAAAATAAGTATCTCTATTCAATGTGATTTAAGAATTTTAGTTTTTCGTTGGGGGGGGGGGGGGGTTAAAAAGGAAACCAATAACTAACACTTTACAGCAAACATTTATATACAACATTTAAATTTAGGGATACATCTGAAAATAGTGGGACCTTGGTTATAGAAATAAATTGAACACAGTAATAAGTCATGGATTAGTACGTTCACTTTGAAATTATGAGTTGAAATATTTTTTTAAAAACAGAAAAAGAAAGAAAATGATGACCAAAGCTGTAATAAAAAGTATCTGTAAAGTAGAATAAATGTAGAACGCGACAAGCACGGATATAGACAAGGCTCACTACGGTTCGAGAGAGAGAGAGAGAGAGAGAGAGAGAGAGAGAGAGAGAGAGAGAATTGTTGATAAGTGGAGACAAACGAAAAAATACCCCCTGACTTTTTTTAATCCTTGATTAAATTGCAAATGAGTATAATTTAAAACTTCTGCAGTCTTTGATTCTGACATGCATGACCTGATGCATAACATAAAATGTATTGAACTAGAGTTTCAATCTCAAGTAGATAGACGGTCGGTTATCTTATCTTGTCTGCGATAATAACAGGGTAACAAGGTACCTGAACATTTCTCATAACAAAAGGTAAACTGAAAACATCTCAAGTGATAAAGCAATTGTCGTTATTTACAATGAACCACCAGTCGCCACTTTCTGGCCGTGCAGTACATGTGTATTTGTTTTCAAGATTCCAAACATTTTATAACG